TATTTTTTTTTTTTTTTTTTTTTTTTTTTTTGTAGGACAAAATAAAATATTTAGAGACATGCATAATAGACAAAATAAAATAATTATTTTGATTGTTACATTATTTTTTACGAGTATTCTGTTAAATTATATACACTTGTATTAAATATAATTTTCAAATATATATATATTTTTTTTTTTTTTTTTTAAAATTAAGTATTAAAAATATTATTCTTTAATTTTTTCATTTTTTAAACAAAACATATTGTTATTAATTGGGCAAGAATTACTTTTGTTTTGTAAACTTTTTAAATCATCTGTTTTTAAATTATCATTTTTTTTTACATTATAATATGTCAATGTTTTTATAATCCATTTATCATTTATTTTACTTAAATTGCTAATAATTTTTCCTTTCTTATTATATTTTTTACTTTTTATATTTATCATTATTTTAGCATCATTTTCATTTAAATAACCTGTCCAAAATTTAGAAAAAATTACTCCTTCATATTCATCTATTAATTTTTTATCTTTTAAAACTTGCTCTTTTACTAATTTCAATGGTAATGGTTCTTCAAATATCATAAATAATAATTTAATTATACAAAAGGAAAAAGCAACAAAACAAGTTATTAATACACCATAATATGCTATGTATATTTTATATTCTTTTTTAAATGTATTTATTTTGTTAACATTTTTTTTATCTACGTTTTTTAATTCATTTTTATTTAAAAAAAAGATACTCTTCTTATTTGGCCAATATAAATGTTTTTCATTTCTATCATTCTCATATTTCTTAAATTTAAAATGAAATTCTTTCAAAAAGGAAATTCTCTTTTTATTAATACTCCAAATTGGAATTTTAAAATTTTTTATTTTCATCTTTTTTATTTTTTATCACATAATTAACATAATAAAATAATGTAAATCTCTAAAATATTCATTATTGTTTTTCAAAATAAAAAAATAGATATTTATTTATATAATATTAATGTAAATATAAATAAATACGTAAATAAATATTCATGTCAATACATATACAAAAGCTTAATAATTTCCTTTCATTTTTATTCATATATAATTAATCTTTTAATACTTTAAAAAAAAAAAAAAAAAACAGCAACATATATCA